CATCACTGACTGTAACACTATATTAATAGCCATAAGCTGACTATATGATCAAGGGGCCCATGTGAGATGCCTGAGGCAGGCAAATCTACCATCTCACACTGGTGTAAGTGTTTTGAGTAAACTTGCAAGAGCATTTAAGTCAAAGAATAATATGCATTTTGGCCACAATCCAACTCTTGCCCTGTCCTGCCAGCAGGACTTTATGTGGTGCCGGGTGATGGGAGTTGTAGTTGTAGGGCACCAGGTTGGCAAACAATGGTGTAGCATCATGCAAGGACTATACATCCATTCTCCCTTCCGTGCTTTACAGGATAGTACATGGGAAAAAGTTGTTTTTAGATCAAAGTGTCGGCACTGACTAATTGCATTATTTTTAACAATGCTAAAAAGAGCAACAGTGAGTGGGTGCAATAATTATCCGGAAACACTTTAAGAAGCTTCTGCGAGGCCATCCAAGAAAGCAAAAGATTACTGGAGAACTGAATGCTGAATTACATACCAGATACAAAAGGTCCCAGGTTCAATCTGGGAGGAGTGTTTTAATTGTAATTGCTTTTAGAATGTTTTACTTCTTTTATACTGATTTTTTTTGCTTGTTTTTGTTTTTAAATTGTGCATCAGTTTGGCCCCCTCGGCTTCTTGGGGAGGAAGCACGGGATAGAAATTCAATAAAGAAAGACTTGAATATTTGGAAATGTGCTTTTTCCTGTAAGACCAATTGCAGTCGTTAACAGTCGTCAACAGGCTTACCACACCTATCAGCCAATCACCCATTCCCACCACCCTTCTGAGTAATACCCCTCCCCACCCTCTCACTATATATAAAGGTCTGGTGACTTCTGTTTCAGTGTATCTGAAGAAGTGTGCATGTACACGAAAGCTCATACCAAGAACAAACTTAGTTGGTCTCTAAGGAAGGAATTTTTTTATTTCTTTATTTTGTTTCGACTACGTCAGACCAACACGGCTATCTACCTGTAACTGGAAATGTGCTGTTTTGAGAGGAATTTTATTTTGTGAGAAAATGCTTTATTTAAATATGAACTTCCACGTGTGTGTTTTTAAATTTGCAGATTAATGTGGTGATGAGACAGAACAGACCTAGGAATGAGCACACACAAAAGTGATGAAGCTGATTCACCCATCTCTATCTCCAGCCTTTGGACCTGACCTCCATCCCAGAAATCTAAGGATGAACTGGAGGGGTGTGCAGAAATGGCAGGCCTTATGTGCTGAACGCCCCCTTTCTCCCAGCATTGGAACTCTGCACATGCTCACCTTCAGCTTGTTGTGCTGGTCTGTGTGCGAAGACAGGAGCTCCTCCGTACACTGCACATCGTTGGGAAGTTCCGTCTCCGCCAAGTCCGTTCCAAAAGTCTGCAACATCTGCGCTATTGTTTTCACAGTCATGGCGAAATTCTCAATGGCCTGGAAGGATTTTAATAATAATAATAATTAATAATTATTTTTATTTATACCCCGCCCTCCCCAGCCAAGGCTGGGCTCAGGGCGGCTAACAAGCAATAATAAAAACAAGTTGAATGAATACAACTTAAAAACAAGATTAAAATACAACAATTAAAATACTGAAACATTAAAATGTTAAAATGCAGCCTCATCACAGGAGGAGAAAGGAAAAAGGAAAAAGAAAGAGGGGGAGGGAATCAAATTGGCTCCAAGCCAAAGGCCAGGCAGAACAACTCTGTCTTACAGGCCCTGCGGAAAGAAATCAGATCCTGCAGGGCCCTGGTCTCATGAGGAAGAGCATTCCACCAGGCCGGAGCCAGAGTTGAAAAGGCCCTGGCTCTGGTTGAAGCTAATCTAACTTCCTTAGGGTCCGGGACCACTAGGGTGTTGCTATTTATGGACCTTGAGGCTCTCCATGGGGCATACCGGGAGAGGCGGTCCCGTAGGTACGAGGGTCCTAGGCTGCGAATTTTGCAGGTGGAAAGACTTTGGAAAATGCACAGACATGAGTACCAAGCCCAAGCCTGGAATACAGAATACTGCACAAAGGGAATAATCACATCCCCTACTCTAACCTGCTTTGGCCTCTGGCCAAATCGACCACTTGCCTGTGGCCCCCAGAAGGGATGCAACCCTCAGGCTGAAAAGTTCCGTCACCCTTGCAGAATGCTGCTTATTTACTCCTTTCCGATCTCTTCAAACCTCCAGCTAAAAGACCAAGCAGGCACAATATTAGATGGCTGGGATTGTTGCTTATACGCTTGTCCTGTTTGCGTACAAAGTGAGGGGCAGGAGGGTCTAATCTTAACATCAAAAGGGATGTGTAGGTGCGGGGAGCCAAATCTCCCCTTGCCTCCCTGCGCTCTGTCACTTCAAATTCCTTGAAAGTTGGTATCCATCTTTCTCCAGAGAATGCCTCTGGAGTTGAAGTCAAATTGCTGCAGAATCACAGCGCCTGCTGTGGCTGCAGAGACCAGTAACTCGTAACTGCTGTGTCCCACATTGTTTTTGCTGCATTAGCAGCACCAAAGTGACTTCCCTGGGGTGCAAGCCTGGGCAGTGTGTCTTTGGTTGCCCAGACAGCAATACCCCACCCTGCCTCTCTGATGTGGCCCAAAGGAAAGGAAAGCAATACATTTGGCACCAGCTTGGCTGCAGGAGTTGCCAGAAGGAGGCGTACAAGATCCTATCTGACCATCTTAAAGGTAAAAGGTAAAGGTACCCCTGCCCGTACGGGCCAGTCTTGACAGACTCTAGGGTTGTGCGCCCATCTCACTCTAGGGGCCGGGAGCCAGCGCTGTCCACAGACACTTCCGGGTCACGTGGCCAGCGTGACGAAGCTACTCTGGCGAGCCAGAGCCGCACACGGAAACGCCGTTTACCTTCCCGCTAGTAAGCGGTCCCTATTTATCTACTTGTACCTGAGGGTGCTTTCGAACTGCTAGGTTGGCAGGCACTGGGACCGAGTAACGGGAGCGCACCCCGCCACGGGGATTCGAACCGCCGACCATACGATCGGCAAGTCCTAGGCGCTGAGGTTTTACCCACAGCGCCACCCGCATCCTATCTGACCATCTTAGAGATTCCTTAAATAAACTGACTCCTGTGCCAGAAGTGAGACAGTGTTGGAGAAAACTGCCTGAAGCGGCAGAGCGCAGGAAAGGAAGGTAGGAGAGGTTCAGTTCCCCGCATCCATGCACCCTTTTCGTGTTAAAATTAGACCCCAGTATCCCCTGCTTTAAAGGTGAATGCAGCAGATAGCAAACCAAGGGAACTGCTCCTATCATGCCTAATTTAGCCCTGAAATTTATTTTGTGCACACTGCAAGATTGATCAGGGTAAAGACAGAATTAAAAAGGTACTTTCAGAAGAATATGAAAATAAACATGATTACTTAAATAAAGTGCTCAGATGTTACTTTTAGAGGTCACGAATCTTTGATCAAATTCAGCTGCCATGACAAAGGACAGAACAAAATACTCTATCAAAGATATATGCATCTTGACATCTCCTTTTCTCTTGATGCAATGGGAAGGTTGCCCTAGATTAAGGCATATTGCCTTGATACCCTACTAGAGTCAGGTGACAAATAAATAAAGGAATCACCTTGCTATATTCAATTGAATTCAATTCAATTGAACAGACCCTTGAACTGGGGTATTGTTTAGAGGGCTTGTTGCTGTTTTTTGTATCTTTATTTTTAGTTCTTATTATGATTTAATGTGGAAATCGTTGACTTGATTGTGCACTTTCTGATGTGTTTTATTGATTGTTTATGACAATTTTTGTTATGTTTGTAGTTACGTAATTTTTTCACGTTGTAAGCCACCTTGAGCATAGTTTTAACTATGGTAAGGTGAAATACAAATAAAATGATGATGTATGTATGTATGTATATCTTGCCTAAATTTAATAAAGTTGCATTTAAAGAGCTAAAATCATTTCCAGTTGTAGGATATTTTTGATGAAATGTGACATTTAAGAGTTATCGAGCAGTTTTAAATATCTTCCAAACAAATTTAAAGTGTGTATGGAAATTGTATTTTTGGTATAAGTTATTTCTAACAATAACATAATAATCATCTGCAGATGACTTTTTGAAAATGTTGGCTATGGCCCCAATTAAAGAGACATGTGTTTCTTAGAGAAGGAAAGCAAAAACTGGATTTTATTTTATTTTAGACAAATTGTCTGACTTTTGTCAGCCCAATAAAGATGACCCAAGCTTGTTACTATTTGTTTCATAACCTGCTACAACTCACTTACCTACCACTTTATTTAATAAAAATGAGGAGTGTGGAGACCCGGAACAAGTCCTTACCATTTACAAAACTATTTGCTTATTTAAATTTTTAGACATCAGAGATGGAGGAACCAAACAGATGTAACTTACAGTCCGATGATGTATCCACTGACTGTGTCCATATTCCAAGGTTCCTCCTAGCTCCCGGGTAAGCTGACTTTTGTCGATGTAACCATGTAGGTCGGAAACCGAATTTAACATGATGATCTGCACCAACAAAACAAAGACCATTAGCAGCACCGTGCATTAACCCCAGTTTTGTGGCATCCCTTTATTTTCTGTCAATTTAGCATTATGTTATTAAACTTCGTGGGCAGATCTTTGAAGCTCTGATACACATGCGAAACTCCTTAATTCAACTGATGGAGCATCTGAATATACACAGGGTAAGCAGCTGCCTGGGTGATTTTCTATTGACCACACGCCTGACATCCCCCGTGTCATGTTGCTCATCCTCTTCATTTTTCCTCCTCCACCTTTACTCCTACTTCTTCTTTTGCTAACTGACCATGCCTTGCAACAATGGCCAAATCTGGCAAACGTTAAAATACCATATTTTTTGCACCATAACACTCACTTTTTTCCTCCTAGAAAGTAAGGGGAAATGTCTGTGCGTGTTATGGAGGGAATGCCTACGGGTGGCGGGGGGGATCTGCTGCAGTCGTGAGTAGAGGATCCATGGTTCCCCTTCCTTCCCTCCTCCGTGGCTCGCTTTGAAACAGCAAAGCGGGAGAAGAGCCGCTGAGTGGGGAGGAGAGAGGGACAGAGAGCCTGCTTCTTTAAAGGAGCAAAGCAGGAGAGGAAAGGAGTTGCTTACACGAGTGTAAGCGGCTCCTGTCCGGTTGGTTCTTTTAAAGCAAGCATGCTCTCTGTCCCTCTCTCCTCCCCACTCAGCTCGCTACATAGCAGCAAAGTTTTTCAGCTCGCTAAGCCAGGGATGAGCGGGGAGGAGGAAGAAAAGCAGAGCCTGCTTGCTTTAAAGGAGCAAAATGGGAGAGGAGAGGAGCCTTCTCCCCTTATACCCCTCTCCTGCATTATTAGCAGCATCCTTCTCCACCCACCCCACGCGTGCTCCTTGTTCCTTGAGTGCTTTTCCTTCCCTCCCCACTTAAAACGTGGTTACAAAGCTCGGGTCCACATGGATCCTCAGGATTTTTGCACTGGGTCACCCCAAATTCACCATCAGATCACATGTCTGTGGCCACAGCATGAACCACAAAAATCATACATCCACTGTTTCGTTTAGAATATTTTTTTCTTGTTTTTCTCCTCTAAAAACTACGTGCGTGTTATGGTCGGGTGCGTGTTATAGAGTGAAAAATACGGTATTTGGTCCAGAATCAAACCTGAGCAAGCATATCGGTGTGACGTTAACATATGAGAGTGCTGGAGGTGAAATAGTTAAACAAGTTACCCAATCAGAACCCGGGGGGTGGAGTCAGAGGGACTATAAAACCAGCTCTGGGAGGGGAGAAGAGGAGTTCGTTGGGAGTTGGGTGGTTGGTTGGAGTGGGAGTGAATTGGGATAGAGTTTGGGGGTAGGTTGAGTTAGTGTAGCGAAATAAGCTGGGTCAGGAATAGTTAGGGGCTAGGAAGACAAGTAAATATCTGAGAGGTGGTTTAGTGAGTGAGAGCAGGTAGCGGAGGTTATAGGTCTGGATAGGCACCCCATGATTGTAATTGACCGATACCGTTTATGAAACCACACGCTTGTTAAACTGCAATAGATAAACAGAAGTTTATGTTCCAATTTAACCCTGACTGGACTCAGTATTGTACCAGGTAGGGCCTGGGTGGTGGCAGTGGGAAATAAAGTGGTGGCACAGGGATCAATAGACGGTGAAACGTCCGGGGACCCTGTGTGATCGCCACAATCGGAAATGAATGAATTGCATTCTTTGCATAATTTACCTGGAGTGAAGGAAAACTCTGTGTTTATCACATTTCTCACCCCTGTTCTAAGTTACTCAGAGAGGCATCCATGGAAGCTACTTCACTTTGCCACCACAACAACCTGTGAGTTGGGTTAGGTTGAAAAATAGGAGGAAAAACTAGACATGACAGAGGAGATAACAGCACCTCCTACAATCCAGAATTATACTGCCTCATTCTGTCACTTCATTCTGCACCTGGGTTCTTTGCAGCCCTCTCCTCAGTGCAGCTGAGGAACAAACAACCAAACCCTTTGCTTCGTGATCAAAGCAAAACCGTCGCAGGAGCCTGTCTCTGTTCGCTGGATGATGTCGCTCTCGAAGCTGCAACTTCCAGGGGGAAGAGGAGGAGAGAAAGGGATCCTGCTGACAGTTAAGAAAGAGAAGATGCGGAACACAGCAAGGAAGAGAAGTGCTTACCGGTACCTTCATTTTAAAGTCATCGCGATACAGTTTGATGCCAATGTCAGCGATTGCCCTTTGGATGAAACGGGACGGCCGCAGGACGAAGACCAACTGCAGGTTCCCTGGAAATGCGCCCTGGAAGAGGCATGGAAGTGTGAGGCAGTGAAGAGGATAGAAACTGCCGAGGAGGACATAAATTGGGGACAAGATCCATCTGAAGCCACTGTGCTATGGAAGGTCTGTGAGCTCTCTGGGGCATCTCTATAGAATCCCTTTTGGAAACCCAGGCAAAATCACAACCCCGTATGAAATTATTTTATTCATTGAATTCTGGGAGGAGGAGCCCTAGCGTTATGCAGTTCTCAGCATGATCAACCCCCAGGCCAACTCTCGCTCTCCAGACCACCCCTCGAGGAGTTGCTTCCTATACTGGGGTGTGTGTGCAAGAGTCAAAAAGATGGAGTAGCACAGAGAGGAAAAGAGCCATGCAGTCTTGCAATGCTGTAAGCTCAGTGGCAGAGCATCTACAGGCTGAGACCCTACCTGCCAGCAGACTGTCTCGCCAGAGTGGTGCATGCTCTAGTAATCTCCCACTTGGACTACTGCAATGCGCTCTATGTGGGGCTACCTTTGAAGGTGACCCGGAAACTACAACTAATCCAGAATGCGGCAGCTAGACTGGTGACTGGGAGTGGCGCTTAGACCACATTGAAAGACCTACGTTTCAGAGCACAATTCAAAGTGTTGGTGCTAACCTTGAAAGCCCTAAACGGCCTTGGTCCAGTATATCTGAAGGAGCGTCTCCACCCCCATCGTCCTGCCCGGACACTGAGGTCCAGTGCCGAGGGCCTTCTGGCAGTTCCCTTGCTGTAAGAAGCCAAGTTACAGGGAACCAGGCACAGGGCCTTCTCGGTAGTGGCCGCCCAGAGTGGCTGGGGAAACCCAGCCAGATGGGCAGGGTATAAATAATGAATTATTATTATTATTATTATTATTATTATTATTTGCATGAAGAATGTCCCAGGTTCAATCCTCAGTGACTCTCCAAGTAGGAAAGCAGTGGTGTAGCATGGTTTGCTGGCACCCGGGAGGCAGAACGTGGAAGTTGAATGGAGCCTGCCACGTTAGCCCAGCTCTTGCCACCAATGCTGCTGTAGTGATGCCATCCCTGAGCCACTTTGCAAGGCTGATCCCAGCCTTGCGAAGCAGCACAGGGCTGGCAGGGTGGCGTGAGCAGTCCCCCCTCCCCCTGGAAAATGCCCCAAGCGCCACCGTGCTGGTAGCCTCCCCCGCATGCTATGCCCCTGTAGGAAAGACTCTCTGCCTGATACCTAGGAGAGCCACTGCCAGTTAGTGCGTAGACAGTACTAAACTAGAAGTGCCAATGGTACTTCCTATTTTTGTTCTGGCTCCACCCACCACTGGCCCCATAGGAAAAACTAAACTTCCCCATTCCCGATTTAATTATTGGTTTATATATGTCTTAATTACAGCATTGTTTCATGTACTAATTAATTTAAATATTCATATCTCACTTTTTTGCCCTGTCTTTAATTATGTATACAAATATATTTATATGCTGCTATTCATTAAAAAAAAATCAGAGCTGTTTGTATCAATAGTACACAGAACCATAAGCGTTATGCATAGAACCATCTTTCCAAATGGCGTTCTGGATGCACATTTTTAGCTGAATTTTAAGAGGGCTCTTGCCTGCCCATCCACTGCATTTGTGCCAAATCAGATGTCCAGAAGAGGACAGCTTGTATCAGAATATAAAATCCAGAAAACCATCCAGAAAAACTGTCAAAGCAGATTTGTCGATGGTGAGACCAAAGATATAAGGTGCTGAGGAACCACCATGGCTCCCTACCCCTTATTCCATCCATGTCAGTGATTGAGGCTGCTTCCACACTCACTGGGCATTTCCTTTAGAGTAGACACATTTGGCTCCCTCGTTTTTAATAGGACATCTCCCTCTCATGTTTCCTCTGTTCAGCTTCCACTTGGTTTGCTTTTCTGTAGCTCAGATGGAACCCCATGGAATGGAGTAGCCGTACCATTTCCCCAGGTATAGATGGCCACTGCTATTCTGGCTGGTCAGATGGTCCCAGCCACTTTCCAGATTGTGTTATAGCTCTCAAAGACTGCATCTCCTCATATGAACTGACCCAGAGCTTGTGACCATCATCTGAGGCCCTTCTTTGTGCGCCCCCTCCATGGGAGGCCTGAAGGATGGAAACAGAAGAATGGACCTTTTCAGTGGTGGCCCCTCATTTGTGGAATGCTCTTCCCAGGGAGGCTCGCCTGGCACCCTCTAGTTTTACACACCAGGGAAAAGCTTCCTTTTTCTGTGTTCTTTTGGTCCTTAGTTTGAAGTTTTTTAAAAAAAAGCATTTGCAGCCTCTTTTGGTGGCATGGGATCTGCTAGAACCCTCTTTTATTTGCATAGATGTGCTTGCTTGTTTTTTACATTTTTATTTATTGCATTTATTGTAATAGGCTTTAGTATTTCTACTGTGTTATGTAAGTCAATTTGAGCGACATTTATGAGTAAAGCAATTAAGAAATTTGAATAGCTGCAAATATAAATAATGATAGTCCAATATACGGAGGTTGCCATATTGGCTCACCCTGCTTTAGAAGACCATCTAAAAAGTACTTCTGTAGCTTCATCATATTCTGTCTAAACCGTTTCCCTACGAGTCACAGGTATGGTTGCCAACTGTATTTCTGCCTCTGCTCTTGTACCATTCATGCTTGAAGTCTGGTTTGCACATGCAGCAGAATGAGTTCCACGGACAATGCAACATGGGAACCCAACATTATGCCTACCCATGGCTCTCTTTGCTTTTACTTTAATAAAGCTGTACAAGGAGAATGGGACACCAGAGGACAAGATGGTTGGGCAGTATTCTCGAAGCTACCAACGTGAGTTTGACCAAAGTGCGGGAGGCAGTGGAAGACAGGAGTGCCTGGCGTGCTCTGGTCCATGGGGTCACGAAGAGTCGGACATGACTAAACGACTAAACAACAACAAAAAAGCTGCAGCGAGCTCCAAATTTGTATTGAGCCAGAACCTAAGACAGAACCTATCCCCACAGGACACATACAGGATAGTTCAATAGCTGTGCTATCATAATTATTAAGGCCTTAAATGATAATTTTAGGTTATATGTTAGTGACTAAGTTTTAATTTATATATTTTTAAACTGTTGCTATATCTGTATTGTCCCTGTTATACCTAATTGCAAATTGAAATGTATCCCTATAGTGTTTTATGACTTGCTTGATATTGTATGTGGGCTGGAACTGGTCTGTGACCGAAATAATAAAATTCAATTCGATAGTTCAATTGGCTAGAGCTGCAGCTTCAATCCTCCTAAGTGACAGCTGCATATTCCTCAGGGTCCCTTTCCATTCCCATTCTATGACATTTTCCCTATTGAAATTGCCCTTCCCAATCTGCTTTTCCCATCTGCGATTCTCGATTAGGAAAATGACGTGAGGAGGGAAAAGAACTCCACATGTCTCCTCTGTCACGCCTCACTTATTAGTACTTTTGTTATGCTGCAGTTGTGTATTCCTTCCATGTTGTGAGCCCCCTTGAGCACAGTTTGAACTGTTGAAAGGCGGCACACTAATAGAATTGTGTATGTATATGTGCAGCTAGCTCAGGCATCCCCAAACTCGGCCCTCCAGATGTTTCGGGACTACAATTCCCATCATCCCTGACCACTGGTCCTGTTAGCTAGGGATGGTGGGAGTTGTAGTCCCAAAACATCTGGAGGGCAGAGTTTGGGGATGCCTGAGCTAGACCTCCTGTGACCCTCCTGTGTTCTGCAAAGCCTGATTATTGCTGTTCTGCTCTGGGAGCCTTTTTTCAGCTGAAAAGCAAGGTTCGAAACCCTTCAAATAAGCTCATAAACCAGTGTGTTTAGCTCCGTTCTCTAGGTATTGGTGCAAGTGTGAGGGAAGGTGGGGGAGAGAGAGCAGAAGGAGAGAGAGAGAGAGAGAGAGAGAGAGAGAGAGAGAGAGAGAGAGAGATGCTTGCATAAGCCCCTGCTCCACCGCCATCTCAAATCACCTAAGCTAGGGCTTGACCTAGGAGGCTCCCTCACCTGACCCCCTGGACCACTACACTTAATGAGATTAGGACTGTAAAGCAGCTTGCATGCAGCAGAAAGCTATAGAAATAGCCATGCCCTTTTCTCTTCCCAGGGCTGGAACGATTTCGTTCTCATTCAGCAGGAAAACAGGGCAAGATGTGCCTGTCCTGCTTTGGCACCCTCCGCTGCTTCTCAGCATGCAAGGTTGGCAGAAATCTGTAGGGCAGCGAAGGGGATGCAGCCGCACGAGCAACCAAGGGAGCGCAGCCTAGGTAAACAGCAAACAACTGGGTAGCAGTTGCAATCTGCGGGAGGCAAAACAGCAATGAAAATAAAGGATTCCAGGCACTTACTGCTATTCGTGTGAGGGACGCCTTTACTGCGCTCCATTTGTCCCGCCGTCTGTCTATGATGATGATGAACCCGATGCTGGCAGCCTCCAGACTGCAAAATATCCAGAGCAGGTATATGGGGTTACACAGGGCCAGCCCCGTTCCAAGCAATGGTATTGCAGCAAAAGCTCCGTGGCACGCTCTGAGCTCATGATTAACAAGCAGGCTAGGTAGGCAGCAGCAGCAGCGTGAGCAAACCAGACCGGGAGCTGTGTTTGCAGGAAGAGGCAAGCGACTTCCCCTCCTCCTTCCTTCCTTCTTTCCTTTCCCCCCTTTCCCCTCTTCCGCCCCAGCATCAGGTTAGCCGCTTGCACAATAATGAATATTTCATCCGATTGCTCGGGCTGCTTTGCTGCAGATTCCCCAACCAGCAGCGCTGTGAACCATTCGCCATCACCTACACGCTTCGGGCTGGTGGGGAGGAAAAAGCCTGGAAATGTTTCAGATAAACCTCACCCCCAGCTTCTCCCCTCTCTGGGGGGAGAGGTGTGAAGCCATGCCCCCCCACCCCGTTCCTCATTGCCCCCCCCCCCCCGATGCAGCTGCCATGCCTGTGAAGCTGCCAGCTACCTATGAAGGGGCGGTATAACATTTGAAAAAGATGTACACACGTGAAATCTGCCACATGTAGGACCAAACTGAGGGTGTTCTTTCTCTGTAAGACAGATTGCACTACTCACAGGCCTACGTACACTGGATTTTGTGCCCCGATCAAATATTGTGCTCACATGCTAAAATCCGTCAGAACAAGGGGCACCCCAGTGAGCAAGGCAGAAAGCTGTGCCATTGATCGGTGGCCCCAGGCGAGGGCAATCTTTAATTGCGGGGAAAACCCACCTACTTGGAGTTAATTTAGCAACTGGAGGCATTTCCCTTGAACTAAAGACGATCCCCAACAGAAACACTGGAGAAGATTGGTACATTGGATGATAAAGGCACCAGCTGGTTTGGAAGCAGAATTCTACCCATCTCTCTGGTTTTGGTCCTCGCCCTACATCTCCTTCCCTAGCCATGCACATTAGGACATCCCCCCTCCCATTTGGGGCTATGCCTCTTCTTTAAAGTATATATAGCCATCTGATCAATGTCACTGTTGTGCATGCTTCAAAGCCACAGTGCAGTGAATGTCACAATATCCTGTGGGCCTACTGGGTTCTTTTTGATATTTATACTGTAAACCACCCTAAGACGGTTGGATGGTGCCTTGTATGCCCCCTTCCGGCAACTCCTGCAGCTAAACTGGTGCCAAACATGTCGCTCTGCTTTCCTTTGGACCACATCAGTGAGGCCAAGATGGGGGTCTTGTTGTCTGGGCAGGCTAGGACTACCAATGGCTTGTGCCCCGGGAAGTCATTTAGAGTAGAGAAGCAAAGGGGAGGGAAAGGGATGCCTAACAAAATTCCCTGCTCTCATGTTTCTCTTCTTCAGACCCCAGCAGCTTTCCCCCACCATAGTGCTCAAAACAAAATCGAATGTGTGAGCATTTAACCCTGCAGCAGAAAAAAAAAAAATATTTTGATGGGATTATTTGGAGCAAGAAAGCTATGGGCAGGGAAATAATTCCTCCACCCCTCACTCGCCTGCTTCTTGACTCTTAGGCAGTGGCGTAGCATTGTTTGCTGGTGCCCAGGGCACACTAGGCAGGTCACAGAGGGTGAATAGAGCCTGCCTTGCCAGCCCAGTCCTTGCCGCCACTGCCACCGAAGCGATACCCCACCCCACTGGAGCCAAGCAGGGCCATGCTGCGCCACCTGTCAGGCAAATCCCCCCAACGCCTGCAGAGAGAACTACCCTTTGCCTCCCTCTGTCCAAACCGGGCATCCAATTGGATCCAAACATAGATAAAACCCTGCTCGTTGATGATCTCAGGAACTATCATGCAAAATTTGGTTATAATATCTTAAAGAAGTGTCCAAATGAATAGTGAAGAGACAAACTACTTTCCAGAATAAATAGTAGATCCTATTAAATATGGTGGGCCAGGAATTCCCTTCTGTGGTGATGTCATGATGACATCCAACCATCCTTTTTTTGGTACTGAGCTATGCAGTGGTGGAGCTTCATGCTCCGGCACCGGGGGCGGAGAGCAGGCGGGGGCATGACTGGCGCATGTCCAGGGGGGTCACGCCGCCCGCAGTGGTGTGGTGCGTGTCCTGGGGGTGTGGAGCCCAGCGTGTGGGGGGGCCGCGATGGCACCCCACTGGGATCGTGGTGCCAGGGGCAATGCGCTCCCCCAGTCCCCCTCTTGCTCTGCCAGTGGAGCTATGTGGCGCAGAGGAAATGTACAATTGTAACCAGCGGAGCTGTGTCAAGACATTTTGCTGTATGAGGCAGCCGCCCTACAAAAGCCAACCAGATCAGAAGTTGAATCTTACATTATCCTCCACCATATCTCGAGGACTCAAGCTTTTTTAGGAGGCACAGGGCAGGCCCCTACACACAGCTCTGTCGTCCAAAACTAATCCAGCAGCTGCCGCCTGAGGCAGCCACCTCCTTCTGTCTAATGGTAGGGCCGGCCTGTGGGCAATCTGCCAACCACAATGGAAATGGAAGCAGTGCAAGCTACTAAAAATGTGGTCAACACATTAAAACCTCTCAGGCATTGTTCACTATATAGAGACTATTAGCAGAATTTTACACAAAGCCGAACCACACACTCCTGTTATATCAGGATACCGGTATTTAAAAAATCAAATCCAAGAGCTAGTAATGCAATGTCAACATACATATATATAAAATTACAATCTTATGGCAGAACTGCACCTTACTCATGACACAGAGCTGTCACTGAAAAGAGTATCCTATGTCGAATTTTCTGTCCTATCTCAGCTGCTTTCAGATGGGTGCTTATTATGGTATGGGTGCTTCTCACACATGGAAGTTTCTTCTAGCATCCACATGACATTGTTTATATCAACATGCCAGCCCATATTATTTCCTGGTTTAATCCAATTTACCCTTTCTGGGGGAAATCCAATACAGTACATTAAGAAAAAGCCCTGCTGCCACTGACCTGTCTGTGACATCTCAACGACTCTTTTCCAAATTAAGCCCCTGCCATAAAGCCCCCTTACTCATCTGGGCTCAAACTGAGTTTTCCTGCCATTGCCAGCAGCAGCCCATGATGTTTGGGGAAACTTTTAATCATTTTTTTTTAGCTTCCAAATGTGGATTTAAATATGATATTATGAATGGTTCTTTCTGTTGCACCTATTTGTTTACTGTTCTTCTGAGATGCTTTGAGCATAATTTGGGAAAGTACACCAAGAACTCAGGCCAGTGTAAGTTTCAATAGTGGGAGTGGTCCCTACTCACAAATCAATAGTCAGTGCTTTTTTCTTGGTGTATTTAATAACAAGAACTCCAACTTATTTAATTTGGAAAAGTGGCATATGAAAAGCTAATAATGATGATGTTGGAGGGAAGGAAAGACCAAAGTAATGATTTGTTTGTTTCATTTATTTCCCGCCTTTTCCTCCAAAAAGCTTGAGGTGGTGTACGTGGCTCTTCCCCATCTCATTTAATCACCGCATCAACCCTGTGACATAGGTTAGGCTAAGAGGCAGGGACTCACCTAAGGTCACCCAGTGAGCTTCATGGCTGTGTCAGGATTTGAACCCTGGTCTCCCAGGTCCTAGTTCCACACTCTAACCGCTTCACTATACCAGCTCTCAAAAGCTGGGATAGCTCAGTTGGTAGAGCATGAGACTTAAATTCAGGGTTGTGGGTTTGAGCCCCATGTGGGGTGAAAGATTCTTGCATGTCAGGGGGCTGGACTAGATGACCCTCATGGTCCCTTCCAACTCTATGATTCTATGAGGTGATTCTACACATTTGCCAGGGATACTCAACATGGAAACACATTTTTGGGTGACAGCCTCGCGTCTTGCATGCATTAACACGCAGCTACACTTACAGGGCAAATTAAATTGCACAACACACCAAAGCTCCACAGCAGGTAAAGTTGCAGAAACCGTTAACGTAGCTCCAAAGTGTGTTATCAAATATGTAAACACAGAAATTGCAAAGGCGGCTCCCACATTCACCAGCAACAAACTCAGCCTCTTCCGAATTTTGATTTTATAAACGCTATAGGCAAAGCTCATCAACAATACTTCTTCCTGAAATGAAGCTCCTTGGGTGGTTAGCTTCCTCAATTGCATTGCCAAATATGTATACGGGGATATATTTATACACAAATGCCATATTCAATCTGACATTTGTTCAATTACACAATTCTCCTCTCACAAAAGATATAGGCAGACGTCACCCCAATAGTTGTTGTTTTTTTACTCACTATAAACCAAGCTCCCCAAAGGAGAATCACATATGAAAATTACTTTTATTTCATTTATTTAGTATTATATTTAAACCCCACTTTTCCTCCAAGGAGCTCATGTTCAGGGGGCATACGTTTTTATCCTCACAACAGCCCTGTGAGGTGGGCTAGGCTGAGAGGCAGTGACTGGCCCAAGGCCACCCAGTGAGCATCGTGGGGATGTGAACCCTGGTCTCCCAGTTGCTAGGCCAGCACCCTAGGCCAGGGGTAGGCAACCTAAGGCCTGTGGGCCAGATGCGGCCCAATCACCTTCTCAATCTGGCCCATGGATGGTCCAGGAATCAGCATGCTTTTACATGAGGAGAATGTGTCCCTTTATTTAAAATGCACCTCTGGGTTATTTGTGGGGCATAGGAATTTTTTTCCTTCAACATATAGTCTGGCCTACCACATGGTCTGAGGGATGGTGGACCAGCCCACGGCTGAAAAAGGTTGCTGACCCCTGCCCTAGGCTGTGTGGGTTTTGGGTGTCAGAGGGGAAATACGCCAAAATGGGAGGTGCGAGAAGGTGTTCATTTGGGCTTGCCCTGGAGAAAGCGGTGAGCTAATTTGGGCCCACAAGCCATCGAGGAGACTGCCGTCAGACTTACCTGGGGATGCTAGTCAAATAGGTCACGACGTTCAGAAAATCTTCATCAGGGATCTCGCTGAAACCTGCGTACTCAGGGAAGGTGATGATGGGTGCACCATCTTTCCCTCTTCCTCCTGCAAGAGAGAGGGGACCTCAGTGGGCTAAATACAGATCACAGTGGTCAATTCTCCCCTGCCAACAGCGTTTCATCAAATTGGTGTCATTCACAAAACGAAAACAACATACATCAACTTTTCCCACTAGCCAATAACTGTTCTGATTATTATTTATGAATCGACTGCAGTGCTCTGGAAATTTGCTCCTGGGGTGAATTATCCTGCCTGAGGAATGTATAATCTAAATGCTTACAGGGAAGGAGATGAGGGCAAGCATGGTAAGAGACCAACGAAAGCAAATGCAGTCAAGTGTACTACTAAGGTTCTGTTTCAGCTGGGAACAGGGATCATGACCGTATACACACCTCACCGTTGGAACAACTTTTATTTCTGTCAAGGGCCACATTCCCTTAGAAATAATCTACCAGAAGCCAGATAATGGCAGTGGGCAAGGCTGGAGCCAAAAAATTTCTTAGCACCCCACTCTCTCCCTCACCCTCTCTCCTAATCCCTTTCCTATCTCTTTCTGTACCCCTTCCCAGCCCCCGCTCCCAGCCACCTGTACAAAATGAATCCCCATGAAATCACCCCCCCCCACACACCTTACATGGAAACTCATTTAACTGAACCTTGACAGCCCATTCCTATTCTTCAGCAAAAGCCATTTTTGGAGGGGGGCAATTTGGAGTAGAGGATTTTGGGGGGGGGAGTATTAAGCCCCGCCTGCTACTTCTCCACTCCAAAATGTCTCATTTCTATTTTTTTTTTAATGATATTTATTGGAGTTTCACAAGAAAAAAACATCTTAATAAAAAATAATAATTTAAAAATAGAAAGAAAAAACACCATACAAAGTACAAAATACAAAATACAAAAAGAAAAAAGAAAAAACAGTTAAAAACAATTCCATCTTTTCATCACAACTTTTACATTTACTTATTTCCCGGACCTCCTCATACCTCCCTCTTTGTATTCCAATTCAATTTGTTTGTCCAGCAATTCCTTTCCCTCCTTTTTAATCCCATCCTTAATCTTAATATAATATAACATTAAATTTTAATCTATTAAAAACCAATTTTCCATTTCTTTTGACTTTTTTAGTCCTAATCCTTAATCTTAATCTATATATAACTTTAAAGCCTGTACAGCTAGAAGCCACTTAATTTCAATCCAACATCACTCTAACATTCTTTAATTTTGCAATATTTCTGTAAATAGTCTTTAAATTTCTTCCAATCTTCTTCCACCGACTCTTCTCCCTGGTCACGGATTCTACCAGTCATTTCCGCCAATTCCATATAGTCCATCAATTTCATCTGCCATTCCTCCAGTGTGGGTAGCTCTTGTGTCTTCCAATACTTTGCGATAAGTATTCTTGCTGCTGTTGTTGCGTACATAAAGAAAGTTCTATCCTTTTTTAACACCGATTGGCCGACCATGCCCAGGAGAAAGGCCTCTGGTTTCTTCAAGAAGGTATATTTAAATACCCTTTTTAATTCATTATAAATCATCTCCCAGAAAGCCTTAATCTTTGGGCACGTCCACCAAAGATGAAAAAATGTACCTTCAATTTCCTTACATTTCCAACATTTATTATCAGGCAAATGGTAGATTTTTGCAAGCTTGACTGGGGTTATGTACCACCTGTATATCATTTTCATAATATTCTCTCTTAGGGCATTACATGCCGTAAATTTCATACCTGTGGTCCATAACTGTTCCCAGTCAGCGAACATAATGTTGTGTCCAACGTCTTGTGCCCATTTAATCATAGCAGATTTCACCGTTTCATCCTGAGTGTTCCATTTCAGCAGCAAGTTATACATTCTTGACAAATTCTTAGTTTTGGGTTCTAACAGTTCTGTTTCTAATTTTGATTTTTCTACCTGGAAGCCAATTTTCTTGTCCAAATTGAATGCCTCCATTATCTGAAAATAATGAAGCCAGTCTCGCACTTTGTTTTTTAATTTTTCAAAACTCTGCAATTTCAGTCTATCTCCATCTTGTTCCAAAATTTCCCAATATTTCGGCCACTTGACCTCCATATTGAGCTTTTTCAAGGCTTTCGCTTCCATTGGTGACAGCCACCTTGGAGTTTTGTTTTCCAATAAATCCTTGTATCTTATCCAAACATTAAACAGTGCTTTCCTGACAATGTGATTTTTAAATGCTTTATGTGCTTTGACCTTATCATACCACAGATATGCATGCCATCCAAATACATTGTTAAAACCTTCTAGGTCCAAAATGTCAGTGTTTTCAAGAAGCAGCCATTCTTTCAACCAGCAAAAAGCTGCTGATTCATAATAAAGTTTAAGGTCTCATTTCTAAAGCAATTTTTATAAGGGGCGGGGTAACAACTATCAGGTTTCTGTTTGTATACAGTGGATGCTTGGGTTGCGAACGTGATCCGTGCGGGATGCACGTTTGCAACCCGCAGCGTCGCGTCTGCACAAGCGCGGGTTGCGATTCGGCGCATCTGTGCATGCACAAAGCGTGATTTAGCGTGTCTGCGCATGTGTGACCGCCGAAACCTGGAAGTAACCCATTCTGGTACTTCCGGGTTTCGGCAGTCCACAACCCGGAAAAACGCAACCTGAAGTGTCTGTAACCCGAGGTATGACTGTAGAGGCATTTGTTGGCGCAGAATGTGAAACACACTGAATTTCTCCTGCATCCCTAGTGATCAGTTTCCTTATCAAGCTACAGTTACCAGGGTTTGCGGAGGGAAGCCATGGCACTTAAGCTGGTATATAAATTCCATGCATCTACCTATAGACATAAATGAAAAATGCAAATACAGGAAACATCCACCCCAATTCTGCCTGTATTTGAGCGCATTTAACAGCCAAAGCAATGCAAAGAAATAGAGGAAAACAACAGAATGGGAAGAACCAGAGATCTGTTCAAGAAAATCGGAAATATGAAAGGAACATTTCGTACAAAGATTACCATAATAAAGGACAAAAGTGGTGGGGACCTAACAGAAGCAGAAGAAATCAAGAAGAGGTGGCAAGAATACACAGAGGAATTATACCAGAAAGATATGGATGTCTCGTACACCCCAGGTAGTGTGGTTGCTGACCTTGAGCCAGACATCCTGGAGAGTGAAGTCAAATGGGCCTTAGAAAGCACTGCAAATAACAAGGCCAGTGGAAGTGATGGTATTCCAGCTGAACTATTTAAAATTTTAAAAGATGATGCTGTTAAGGTGCTACACTCAATATGCCAGCAAGTTTGGAAAACTCAGCAGTGGCCAGAGGATTGGAGAAGATCAGTCTACATCCCAATCCCAAAGAAGGGCAGTGCCAAAGAATGCTCCAACTACCGCACAATTTCACTCATTTCACACGCTAGCAAGGTTATGCTTAAAATTCTACAAGGAAGGCTCAAGCAGTATGTGGACTGAGAACTCCCAGAAGTGCAAGCTGGATTTAGAAGAGGCAGAGGAACCAGATACCAAATTGCAAACATGCGCTGGATTATGGAGAAAGCTAGAGAGTTCCAGAAAGACATCTACTTCTGCTTCATTGACTATGCAAAAGCCTTTGACTGTGTCGACCACAGCAAACTATGGCAAGTTCTTACAGAAATGGGAGTGCCTGATCACCTCATCTGTCTCCTGAGAAATCTCTATGTGGGACAAGAAGCTACAGTTAGAACTGGATATGGAACAACTGATTGGTTCAAAATTGGGAAAGGGGTACGACAAGGCTGTATAT